TTCTACAGCCTGAACGCACGGACTTTTGTCCCCATGTTCGTAACGTGACGACCCCAGAACTTGAAGAAGGAGACTCGGTTCCACCGGGGGGATTTCCGGTTGTGGTGTCAGATCCTAAGCCCGGAGAAGAATTTGTTTCTCCTGGTCCAGTGCTAGAAGCTGGAAGCACCGAAGAGGCTTCAGTTGACGAAATACCTCCGAGGTTACCAGTCATAGTAGTGGTTGTAATGGCGCTAGCAGTGAGTTCGGTGACAGGTATATGCGCAGTCGGGATCCCGTCACCAAATCCCATTGTGCAATTTCCGATTTCTGAGTAGGTGTCATCGCTGTTATTTGGAGGGATGTGATCTTCCACCCAGTATTTCACGCCTATGGGAATCCCTGCCTTGAAGATCTCTCCTGTATTATTCTGCCAATACGATGTATCGTTGTCGGCCTGGAAGTATCCTGCGGAAAATCAACACTTGAGCTACGATAGAATACCTCAAGAAAGACGTACCTGAAGGGTATACCTGTAAACCATCGCCTACACCGTCGAAAGAAGGAGTCGGGCAAGCATAGCCGGAGCCAGTAGTGGTTGGTGCTTCCGTGTAGTACGTCACCTCACTGAAAACCCATACAGGAGTGGGAGAAGTGTAAACAACACCGTAGGGGTCAGTGAACTCAGTACCAGTTATTAGCGTAGTATCTGCTTCGTAGCCAGCTAAATCATCGCCAATGATATTGGTAGGTACGCCGCTGATTGTAATGGTTCCAAAGTTGTTGAACACCCCAGTTGGAAGTGACTGTGTATTGTTGGCCTTGATTGTTTTATAGCTCGTCACTGCTGTGTTGTCATATTGATATACGATGGTGGATATTGTCGCTACTGTGACCTCGACACTGCTTGTCCACCACAAAACGAGACCTACGCCAAAAGAGTCTAAGTAGCAGCATGTTGGCATAATTGGATACAAATCGCTTGTGGTTGTTGCATTCAGACTTCCTAGAGTAGCTTGGCTTTTTTAACGAAGTATCTCTTAAATATCACTAAGAGACTCACCTCGAGGGAAATGCTGTCTGGCGCATGATGCTCCGCTGATCAGAAATACGAACTTCCCAAGACTACTTCGCAGCAACATAATGAAGGAATAATAACCAAGATATCACGATGCAGAAAACGACAGACTGTGTGTTGGTAGATAATGTACAAACATGTCCCTCTGGGACCAGGCTACATATGAGTCTCGGGGTACATGATGCATCGTAAGTAGCCTTGTACTATGCGGGGGGTAGTCTATGGCGCAGCTTGGGTGGCACAAGTATAGCACATGGGATCAAAATCAATGGCCACAACGGGACTGGACTTCTTCTGCGATTCATTCCCTGTCAGCTTACAATCAGCAAACGACTGCAAGGTCCCGCCCTGACGGTTTTTGTGATATGACCAAAAGTTCTAGGCGACTCGAAGCTCTAATTTCGAAATGTAATGTGAGTCCCACTGCTCGTGCTTGATATCCAACGCTCTATTGCTCACCGTCGGCTGGTTCTTGCACGGGTTGTGGAGAAAATCTCTCGCAATTTTTCCTTGTGTACAGCACTGGTAACGGTTTACTGGTTGAAAGAGAGTGGCGCGATTTGACCGAGACCGAGGCGCGGGATTTCAGATGCATGGTACACTGTGTAAGCGCGACTTCCAGTTTTAGAATCCTTTCGGCAGCTTGCCCGAGAGCGGAAGCATTGCCATTCGAATAGATGATGACAACGCACAATGCGTAGATTGCGGCTGAAGATGTTCCCTGCACGCGTTCGACGTGCGGATAACTCGGAGTTGCATCAAGAAAACAAAACATGGCAGAAAATAAAACAATAACACTTCTATAGATGCAAGATACTTATCTCGCATACAAGACATCTTTCTTGTTCAGTGGCTAAGGCTTCCGAGCCATGATAGTTGAACGTGGAGGCAGATGGCTTCGTCTGAAGAAGCTTGTCCTGCCATCGCCAAGCGATGAACTAACTTGATTAGGCTAGCCCTTTATGCTCGTCTACAGTAAGCTTAATTTGCACTGGATTTCCCGAGTCCAGAGATCCCCCTGAACGTCTCGCTCTCTTCTCTCAGGAATCGATGAGAATGTCAATGTCATCTCTCATCTCCTCCACATCATCAGCAAATCAATCTTGCAGCTTCTTTCGCATGATAACTTAGTTTATCATGCACTTACGTACGGCCTCCAGCGCCGAGAACATCGAATTTACAATGACCTACAAGGTCCACTGCAGTCCTGCCCTTATCTGTAATGTCAGCCTTTGGCGCTTCTTCAATCTGTCAGGTCCGTCTGGCCGAATCAACGCATCTCGCCCCTGCATCTAAACTGCTCACATTATCCTAGATGGGTTCCGTGCCCGAACGTTACATTCACGAGGGTACCACTTCACAGAGGCACAGCAGCCGCAACATGCAAGTGCAGAGTGGCGAGGCAGATGCCGATGAACTTCCAGGTCTTGATTGGACCCTGATCGATATCCTCCAGGGTAAGATGCTTCCATGCTTGATTCTTCTCAGCCTTGCAAATGTCCCTGCATGCCCGAGAATGAACGGCGATTCAAGCGTGTCGACACTGTGGACCCCGCGGCGTCCGTGGCTGGCTCTTCTTGCATCCTTCTGTTCCACAGTGTAACATTTCCTCTCGAGTCATTCAAGATATCCAAGGTGGAATGCTTCCGTTATTCTCCTCTGATCATCTTTCAATCTGTATGATAGAATGAGCTCTACGGTCTTGGCTTTGTCTACCCCAACGCCGATCTCTGTCTCAACAAGCCAGGCATGGTAAGCTTTCACTACTTCTCTCATATCGAGAGTACTGATGATCCCAGGGACAATGACGGAGCTGGGCTTTGGTCAACCTTCGTTGTCCAGGTGGGAACGCCTGCTCAAGACTCAAGAGTCATAGTGAGCACCGCAGGTGATGAGACCTGGGTTGTCTTGAGCCCGGGATGCCCATCTAGCTATGGAAGTAATTGCGCGTTCAATCGTGGTGGGGTCTTCAGTGTGGATAATTCGACATCGTGGGTCAACATTGCCTTATACGAACTAGACCTGGAGCTCAATCTTGGATACACGGGAAATGGCCAGTTTGGATACGACACGGTAACATTGGGATATCCCAACAGTGGCGGGACGCAGCTTTCAAAACAAATCGTCGCGGGGCTGGCAACACCAGATTTCTGGCTTGGACAATTTGGTCTCGACCCGACCCCTAGCAACTTCACGACCTTGAATGATCCGCAACCAAGTTTTTTGTGGACGTTAAGGAATCAATCGATGATCCCAAGCACTTCTTGGGGATATACTGCAGGTGCATCATATAGTAGGGTACTAGGGAAAATACCATGAAATAGAGACTGATATTTCTCAGGATACGATAAAGTTCAAGGTAGCCTTACCCTCGGGGGCTACGATACTTCTCGATTTTCTTCAAACAATGTTACCTTTGATTTCTATAACGATGTGTCCCGTAGATTCCTCGCCGACCTCAGATCCATCACATATATTCCTACTGGCGTTTCGACAGTCACGACTTCGACCACGTTAATGTCGGAGACAATTTCAATGTACATAGATTCGACTATACCATATATATACCTTCCTATCGATATTTGTGCCAAGTTCGAATCAGCATTTGGCCTGGTCTGGGATGATACCGACGAGATTTATACAGTCAACAGCACAGCACACGCATTGCTCACAAACACGAATCCAAGCATCACTTTTACACTGGCCAATACCGCTGGTCAAACTCTGGACCTTGTTCTTCCATACGCCGCCTTTGATCTCACAGCATCCTTTCCTGTTATATCGAGTGGCGCCAATTCTACTAATTACTTTCCTCTCAAACGTGCCGCGAATGATACCCAGTATACTCTTGGTAGAGCTTTTCTCCAAGAAGCATACCTGATAGCCGACTACGACCGCTCAAAATTCACTGTTGCGCCTTGTGTCTGGCCTTCGACGTTTACAGAGAACATCGTCGCCATATATCCCCCTGGAGCAAATCACAACAGTAGTAACACTACCGTCACAATCACACATGGTTCGTCGAGCAGCACTCCAATTGGAGCTATAGTCGGTGGTGTGGTAGGAGGGATTGTTCTTATACTAGCTGCTATACTCGCTTATTGGTGGTTTGTGTACAAACCTAAACACAAGAAAAGTGCCAAGCTAGAAGCTCCTTCCTCGACTACCGACGTAGAGACTGGACTGACAACAGGTGTCAATGTTCAAGATAGGCCCGAGCTGGATGCCAGTACGCAAGTAACAGAGTTATCGGCTTGGGAAGAAGCAGAAAAGAAACGGCGAGCGATGTCTGAAATAGCCGGCACGCCTCTTCTGGGGCACGAGATGGACAGCCACGCCGGTATCGGCAATGAGCTGGACAGCCCTCAGGTTTTCGAAATGCCAGCGAGAGAGCCAGTGGGCAGTGAGTTGCATACACCGCAACCGAGTCCCAGGCAAAGCCCCATATTAGGTGAGGGATTGATTAGTCCAAGAAGTCAGAGTGGTGGACGGAGTCCTTTGAGCTTGTTGAGTAGGGACAGTAGCAGAGATCCAACAAGAGAATATACTAGGAACAGACGATAAGAATAATAGTATGTTTATGATATCCAAAAGCGCAAGAACTGTCTGATTTTCGTCAGAGTAAGCTTGGTGGTGTGCGCATACTTATGTAGCTATAGATATTGTAATGTAAGTACTTAGGTACCAAAGCACATAAATATCTTCCACGTGACTGTAACATCATGCACTTGCTTGAAGGGCCAGCTTCTCTGACAGAGCTAAAGGTCCATGGGCCATACTTTATACCGATCATCCATATCTGTGCTCGTCTGCCGCCAAGATTCGAGCAGCAACTCTTTACCATAGGCAATTCCAGCTTTGCTCAATTGAGTAGCTCATGATCTCGATTCACTTTTTTTGTGGAATTTTTCCCTCAACGCACGCGTTTTGGAATCTCTTCGCGTCAACCAACCCATTTCTTCAGCCTCTTCTCAGACATCAATAAAATCACGCCCATATATGTTTTTTTTTTCAAGGAGCATTCATTCGAAGTGGAACAGCATTTTCAATTCTTCCCCAGGGACCTATGATTTTGCACAGCTAACAACCCCAGATTATAATGATCCCGATATTTTCTCAACGATCATCACATCATAACCGAATACCCTTCACGAACTCCACGCCTTGTAACTACAAAAGCCCCAATATCCCCGCAATTACCATCCCAACCCACCCCTCAGTGATCCTCCTCTCACCTCCACTGCTCTGCAGCCCTCCTGGGCCCGTTGAAGATGCACTGCTGCTGGCCGAGCTTGAGTTTGTGCTCGTAGGTCCTACGGTCGTGATCTGTGTCGTGGTCGTTGGTCCTGTGATTGTCGTTCCACCGCCGCCGGGTAAGACACAAGTGCAGGTCGGCTTGGCGCTACACGGGAAAGGTCCTTGGGTCCCAGTCCATATTGTTGTCTGGCCATGGCATTTGTTATCATATGGGCAGGTTGTCAGCGTTGTGATTGATGTCACTGTCACGGTAGAGTTTGAGTAATATGGCGTGCTGGTCGTGGAGCTTATTGTTGATGATGTACAGGAAGCATCCGTGCATGAGGACGAGGAGGACGAAGTTGAGCTGCTTGAGCTCAAGCACGAGGCATCAGTACAAGATGAGACGCTACTGGAGATAGAGCTTGACAACGAGGACGAAGACGACACCGACGTAGCACACGGAATACGGAGGACAGCCGTCGAAGTCTGGCATCCTTGATGGCAAGTCGTCTCGCAGAATGTGGTCGTGGGAAGCCCAGTGAGACAGTCGCAAGGTTGAGTGATAGTTGACACCGTGATACACTCGTCAATTGTGCATCCGCTGGGTGGGGCTGGACAGCCCGAGCCTCCAATCTGGGTGACTGTGGGACACGGTACTGGGCTGGTGGGAGGAGAGGTTATGCTGACTGAGGCACTGGTGGTAGTATCCCAGCCATGGACGACAGTCAAGAGGACTGCATGTACTAAAGCGAGGGTTGAGAAACGCATCCTGATTGAAGGTACCAATGTTTCTTTTTGGTTTGCAACGAATGTGTTGAGGAACAGTCAGACATTGAGTGGGAATGTCAATTTAAATGTTTTGTCCCCGTATAGCCTGGTGCCGGAATTCGGTCAACGGTTTGGTGATACAACATGAGATGGGCTGTGATATTTCCATTTTTCTGGAGCTGTTATGAAGTTCTCGTATTCGACTTGACGACGGCATCGATCACGAGTGCAACAGCTGATGCATGAAGTGCCTCTCAGCCAATGGTGAAGAAGAGTGTAAGCGATGTTGCATAGATACTACAGTCACCCCATCTGATGTCCAAATATGCTTAAACATAGAACATGGGGTAAAAGGTGCTCCACAAATCACGAAGAAGGAACTAGCACCCGTTCGTATCCACTGTCGCGTGGTCCAGACCGGCTCGAGAACCCAGGAATAGCTTTGTGTACCTCGGTCGGATGTTCATATCCTGAGCAAGTTGAGGTGTTCAACTTCTTCTACAGTCTATCGGAGAAGTTTAAAGTCGCATTGCAATGCACGCCTGGGCAGAGAAAAAAGGAATCTCACTCAAGCGTGATCAAGATCTTGTAATCGGAAGACGATTTTTGATTCGCTCCCTGAAACACTTAACTCTAGCCTGACAAATATATTAGATTATGTTAAGATGGGATGCACAATTCTCCTCTGATTTATCGTTGAAAGGTAGTCGCTCTTCGACGAATCAGTTACATCGCTCTTCCATCATTCAATTGCCTCAACCTGGGAGCAGAAAATTCGAATAGTTTCCTCTTTCAGAGATGAGACATGCACATCCGATTGCGAGCTTGAGTTACCCATTGAGTCGGTATCTTGCTGCTTAGCGACGTCAACACTATTTGGTATGATTTTGTTCTTCCAGATAGAGCCCAGAGCTTCAAAAATTCGGTCAAGACCTTTTCTTAACTTTCCTGGTGCAGCCTTCGCTTTCCGCCTGGCAGTACTTTTTTCTTCGCGAGCTCTTCGGTGTTGGTCTCTCTTTTCAAGCCTTTTTCTCTCTCGCTCAGCAATTCCTGCGGCTCGTTCCCGTTAGAATATCTCTTTCTGGGCCTCAGAAATTATCCAATATTGTCTCGCGATTCTTTCTGCTTCTTTCTCTGGTTCCCGCTCAGGGCCTGGAATGGCGTTGTGAACCCCACAGCATGCACAGATCTGGTGTAGGACTCTCTCTAAATCTCGCAATCAGTGTCTGTTGACTACGACAGGGCATCCACAAACCGTAGCCGGGCCTTCCATAGTTGAAATTAACCGTTACTGGGATGACCATCGTGGACTGGGTATGTTTGAAGATGGAAAAGTGTTCGTCGAGAATTTAGAGAGGTTCGTTGTGTACTCAGATGAGACGTCATAAGGTGTTACGCTAAAGCCATAACTGTATGGCACTGGGACGCTATCTTCGCTCGTAAATCCTTAGTCCGACTTTCAATACGACGTTATGGTAGCTGGTCCTGATAATCAGGATATAAGCACACCCCAAAATAACCTGCTGTGTGTTCGTATCCGTGCCGCGATGATAGCGTTCGCGACATTGTCTAGGTAGGTGCCGGAACATCGCGCCTCTCATTTTTCCTAGATAAACAAATCTAGGAGATGGCGGCAACTTCTATTTGCCTGTTCACAATGAATGACGACAGTATTCAGACGCGGTGATGTTGATAAACTTTTCATTATCTCCTTCGTCACACTGTATACAACAGCAATCCATCCCATACAAGCAACACGAATACAAAAACAGTAATTACGCCCCAACGCACCTATTGACACAGCCTGCCCCATGACGTCTCTTGTATCCTTCCCCTATAAAAACCTCCGATGTACTTGAACAAAGGAACAACATCCCTTGACTGATGTTATGCATGTAAATAAACGCCACCAGGGCAGAACGCAATCGTGACCGTGAAGTCAAATCCGTATAAAGAGTCGCACCAAGACAAGCCGAGGTAGAAGAGAAGCAAGAATAACATCGTCGATCGTAAAACATCTCGACATCATTCATCGTCAATTCGTAACGGCACATGCGCCTCAGACAACCATGCTCTTGGTTCGCTGGTGGTTTCGAGAAGTCTTTCTGGTGGTGCCTTGTTCGTTTCTTCGCTTCAAGCTTCCCTCGCGTTTGAGCACGAGATCACACCAGCCACCCTTGGCACCACTGCCCTCCTTTCCGATACACCCGTCAAGAACTTGCATCCAGCCTTCCTTATCATTCGCCGTATCAGCATAGAAGTCGATGATCTCGCCGTTATTAAAGCGAATGCGGAAACCTTCCTCGACAAACATGTAGCCTTCTTCTTCTTCAGCAAAACCGGACTTGCGGCGTTTGCCGTTCTTGCCTGTTGTCTCCTTCTGAGTTAGAGTGCGGCGATCGTCAATTAGCTTGCTAGCATTGGCAAGATTGATTGTAGCACGAGGTTGACGAGTTGACTCATGATAAGCTGTTAGTTTACTGCCTGTGAGCTTGAAGTAACGTCGACGCCAGTACTAGATCTTCATTAGCAAGATATCTCCAAGCAGATTGGTGAGGATGTTTACCGGACAGTCACCACCTTGCTGACTTAGGTGACCTTCCCAGTTGCGGGCATTTGCAGCTTCAGCCTCCTTCATCTCACGAATGCAAGAATTCATGCTCTTGGGCATGTCATCGTCTGTAGCACCTCTCGGCTTTGGGACGAATAGAAGTTGCAACTCAAGCTTTGCAACCTTGTATGGAGCTCGTCGTTGGATATTTGTATTCCCGCGCTTGCTCATGACACTTGACTTGTGGTTGGCTTCTTCAGTAGCCCATTCGTTGAAGCAAGCAACATCAACAACATAAGGTCTCCCGTAGCATCGAGCCTCATGATCCTTGAGGCAAACATAGGATCGACCAAAGCTTCCATCTTCAGCCGCTAATGGAGAAAGCAGATCCCATGCGGTTGGTTGGACGGACATCCTCTTGGCCTGCGTATCTCGCTGGTTCTGCTCTGCAACTCGCTGCTCTTCTTCTTTTTGTCTCATTTCAAGCTCCTTCCGCTTTTTCGGAGATGCAAACACGCGACTGAAAGTTGAGGGCTTCTGAGCCTTGTGAGTCTTGGTAGGCGACTCAACTACTCGCTTGGGAGGTGGCTTAACAAGTTTGGCGTTCAGTGTTAGTTGGAACTCGAGCTCATTGGGCACAACGAGCTCAAACTCTTGTCCAATGGGAGCATTTCTTCCAAGCTCAAGCCAAGCAGTAGTCACGCAATGGACGCCGTTATCGAGGGTGAGGCTGAACCAGGTTTGTTCGTCTGAAAAAGAAGTTAGTTGGTGCCCGCATCCAGAAGAAGCCAAACTCACTCTTCGGTAGAGGCATATCAAGATCTTTCACACCGATGACCTTCACGAATAATCGACCTCTCTCACCACCGTCCTCAGGGACAGGCTCTACCATAGACTCTTCAGAGACTATTCCCAATCCAGCAACGTTGCTCTCTTGACCAGGCATTGGAGGCACTGGTCCCGTTGTAGCCTTCTTTCGGGCACCAGATCTGTCACGGATGCTGTTCTTTCGCATTTGTCCATTCCAAGGTTCGACAGTCCAAGATTGAGGTCGATCTTGTTTGATTGGAGAATTACCTGCTGATCTTGTGCCGCGAAACTCTTCACCCATTCCATCGTTGCTGCTAGCAACAACAAGCTTTGTGTTTTGTCTCATGAGATAACCGCGCTGTTTACGGGGGGTCATGTTAGCATATATATTGAAATGAGAAACAGTGTCGGTGGCAGACGCTTGTCCTTTCTTGTGGAAGGAGGTGGATTGTGAAGAAGATAGGTCAAACGCAACCTTTTGGGCTTCAATGACTCGGTCAAAGTCCTGATCAAGACCGAGGCCAATGTCACTACCAATGTCCAGCGTCAAGGATCTCTTGAAGCTTGGTTGTCTCTCAACACCAGCATTCACATATTCCGGGTCTTCCAGCTCTCTGTCAGCACTTAGAGAAGGTCGGTTGCGGTGTCGCTCAGGAATTGGAGGGATATTTCGCGTTTCACCGCTAACTTGGCGTCTCATTTCTCGCATTACAATTAGATCTGAAGGTGTAGCCGAGGGTCGAGTCTTCAGCTTTGAGCCAGATGCAGATTTGATAGTTGCGACTTGTTCGGGAATGCTGGGCGAATCACGAGCCGGAGACGGTGGTGCTTGATGACGAATAACAGATTCTGGAGTTCCGACTTCGAACTCGTCCTCTTCTTCCGGCCCCCAGCCGGAGCCATCATATTCTGGCTTGTATGCTGGTACTTGACGCTCTTGAGGGGTTTCCGGACGTTGCAAGTATTCATGAGCTTGAGCCATCTTCGGAGCGTCAATTGCTGGCTGCTCATCTTTAGGAGGTGGCGATGGAGCCATGTATGATTGCAGGCTCAAACCGAAGTCGTTGTTCGACAGGAAGCCCGAAAATTCTGGCAGTGATTCTCTATTGTCCTGCTTGACGGGAGCAATGTCGGTTGCCTTGGCTTGTGGGCTCTGGGGTCGTGGAGTTGGCGGTCCATCATCCTCTGCAGCACTGCTCGACTGCATTTGGGGGCTCTGATGGGGAAGGGTAGGGTCGGAAAATTGGCTCTCCAACTCCTCAACTAGATTCTCATCATTCTCGTTGTAGTCATCCATACGTGATTCCGTGCGCTGGTACATCTCAGGGATCGAGTATACATCGACGTCCGATTCCTCGTCCTCTGGTTCCCGCTTGATAATGACGCTATCCTCGTTATCAATCATTGATTGATCTTCTGTCGAGGGAATGGGAGTGTCGGGATCAAGAGGCGTAGGACGCTCGGGGCTGGAACTCGGCATTGGAGAAGAGAAATTGTAGTCAGATTCTCTGGTGTAAGCTTCCTGGCCGTTGACTTTTCGTAAGATTGACTCTCGAGAAATTCGGGGTGGCAATTGATATGTACCCAACCCTGGAAGGTCGTCTAGAGTGTCTTCATCTTCATGAATATGAATCGGGTCACGTTCTGGAGTTTGACTGCTGCGTTCGCGAGCACCAGCACGCCTCATGCGACGCTCACGTTGTTTCTCTGCCTCCGTCTTGGGCTTCTCCTCATCTTGAATCATCATCAAGCGAAGTCTCTCCTCCAGAGTCATCTTACCACCGCTCATTCCTTGAATTTCAGACTTGCTGATAGACGCTGGGGCGGGTGGAGAGGGAAGACCTCTCTGAGTAGCGCGCTCTGCAGCTGCTGAGAGACCAGTAGAAGAAGTCGAACCACTTCGCTTGTGGTTATCCATGCCTGGTAGAGGTGGCAGAGGTCGATGCTCGCCGTTGGAGTTCAACGAGTCCGTTCGACTAGCGGTTGGTCGTCCTAGAGAAGAAGAGGGTCTAGCGTCTGGCATTGGGCTGCCTTCTGGACCTTCAAATGGGTCTTCAAATCTACCGGAGACAATGCCAGTATCGTGTGCACCGGGACTAGCATGTCGCCAATCGTCCGGTCCAACCACAGGAGTTTTGTCTGTATCTTCCAGAGATGCGTCGAAGCTGTCATCTTGCTCAATAGAGTCTCCTCGGTTGTAGCTATCTTCGTCTTCATCCTCTCCCGAATCATAACTGTTCTCTCGTGATCCCGTACCAACTGAGGACATGTCTGGTGTAGCCATCTCGTACTCATTGACCTGTGGGGGTGCTGCGTCGAATGTGACACTCTTGGCATGTCTGTGGAGAATTCTGCCAGGTGGGAGTTGACGCTCATCCCCGGAGACTTCATCAGACCAGGTTCCGTTCTCTGAGTCGAAGCTAGATTTTCCATTGAATCGTCCTGAAGCTAAAGACGACTTCGTGGGAGATATCTGGTCTTTGCTAGGGGAGTGGAGTGCGTTGGCGCTAGCCTTTAGAGGTGTTTTGTTGGGGCTGTACAGTGAACTGTATAAAGGAATGCTGCTCTTGCTATCGTTCCTCTGGTGTCCGAAACCACGACCACGCTCTGCGGATCGAAGACCATCCAGTCCAGCTCCACCATATGCATTTCCTTGTAGTTGCTTTGCCAAAGGACGCTCGATGACTGGTACTGACGCTGGATCATACTCTTGCTTTTGTTCCCTCGCAAACATATTGCTATTCTTTACTCGGGATGCCTTCTGTAGTCGTTCGATTGAAGAACGGCGCGTCGGTGATGGTGATGATTCTCTTCCGGCGAAGAGATTCTCTGTGTTGATCCGATTCGGCGTAGTGGGAGAGCGACCGTTCCAGAATAGTCGTGGCGACGAATTGCCTTCAGAAGCATTAAAGGGAGACGACTGGAATGGAGACGAGTCCTGATTAAGAACCATCTTCTGCGGTCAAAATTAGCTTTTAATTATCCGAGACTCGCCTTGTCCTGACGATCACCGTACCTTTGTGGCTTGATTGTAGCTTGGAGAGTTTCTCCTCTTCTCTGTAGGAGCAAGCTCTGAAAGCGGACGCGGAAGAGAGGAACCTGTCATCTTTGTAGGTGATGTGGATGGTGTTCCTTTTTGGATGCGCAGAGGGTGAACCTGAAGATGTTAGGCATGGTGGAAATTTGGTGTTTACCATAGTAAACAAGCCAGAGACCACCGATCATCGGTCGCGGGTGCTTACCGGTGCAGACGGGGACGAGGTCGCCATCTTTACAACTTCAACCCCTCCTGATCGCAGATCTTCAAGTATACTGTAGATGGATGCTCAATGTTCTGTCGCTCAACGAGGCAGTGGCATGGAAGGGTCAATTCAGGAATGTTGACGAACAACCGACGCGAGGCGCGTTGAATAGCGAGTGTAGAAAAAGAACCGCTGACTGAGGAGGTTCAGTATATCCTCAGAAAGCACAGCAAAGGACCAAGCGCAATGGAAGAGAAGAAGTCAGATTTGTTCCTCGATTGGTGGAGCGTGTTACTCGTTCATAACAGCGCTCGTTAAGTTGTTGTGGTTTTGGAGGTAGCAACCCGCTTCGACTGCATAGCAACGGGCCTGAAACAGTTCCGCTCAGGCTAAGCTCGATTCGACTTAGCGCGTCAAATCGTACCCACCGGCGATAATCTTGCATCCCACTTCTCCTTCCTTTCGAGCTCAGCACCAACCAGACAGGATTTTTAGCTTCGTGCACAGTCTCACGTATGGTAAGTCAGCGCTACTTGGTCCTCTCAGTACGATAATATTCAAGAATTTCGTTCGTTGCTCGGCTTTTTCAGGCTTCAATGTCCTGGCCATCGTGCGACATTCAACACCGCTCTCCTTCTACTTCTGAAGTCTCTCAACAAGCATGGGATGCAGGAATATTCTGTTCGTTAGCAGTGAAAGAATCTAGCTTCACATACATTGGTAGTTGGACCTGAAGCTAAATTAGCTCGACGGGCAGTGATCACGAGCCCGGTTGTTGATTTTTCGAGTCCTTTTGTTGTGAGCACAAATGCAAAACGACTCATGCAGATTGTGGAACTCCGAAGTATCACAGCTTCATCAACCGTATAACCACATGTTGCACGGGATTATCTTGACAGTATTGCTTGCCTGATATGTTTCCTTCCAAATCTGTTTTTGATACTACAATCCAAGTATGATTGAGCTGATTGAGCCTTTCTGTAAACGGCCGAGAACAGTCCATTGCTGGTTGTTAATGACCTCTGAGGAATCATTTGCGTTGTTCCCAGTGAAAAGTCTACTGCTGCAACAACAGCCCAGGAGTATTGATCAGGTGCGTTTTTGATATGTGCTTCTCCATTTAGTTGGATACCAAGGTATGTTTGATAATACATGCCCAGGTGGAGTCGCCTATGAGAGGCCCTGCACTAACTTCAGATGGGTCTGAAATAGATGAAGCTTGACCTTACCACTTGACAGGGATGGACAAAGAGCGACTAGGTACCTATTCATTGAACATATATCTCACGTGATCGATGGCATTCTGGCTTCCTGATGTCCTGATAGAACAACATCAACGGAGGTAGGTAGACGGAATCCATCGGGTCAAAATTGTAGAGTCATCAATTTTCACCACCATCGCTACACACCCATGCTAATGATGGGCTGAGAGCTCGGCACGCTCCGGTAGTTGTCGAAAATTCCCCGGACTGTATTTTAACCCCTCATCGAAGCTCACATCCTGGGCTGTTGTAGTTATTCCATCTAAGTCGAACTCGGAACTTCACAATGCTCCCTTTGCTTTACCTAAGGCAGGTATGGGTCTTCATATTCAAATGTTCTAGATCACATGTGAATTGATCCAGTGAGCCTCCACATGGCTCAAACATACGTTCGCTTCATCATCTCTGTGATCATAGTCCTTCAGAACTACTTGAAATAAGATCAGACTCTGCTAGTTAAGGAATCAGGCGTTTCCTGGATAAATTATCACGTGATTCGATGTCTATCAACGTCGAGCCAGGTGAGTAAAAGTTGCTGCAAGAGCGTTCATCTTTCAACCTAGACTCCCTGTGCCAAATTAGACAACGATCATACCGTTGCATGCTGTCCAAGAAAATCCCCTACCTGGCTTTTAACAGACCGATTCCCATCTCATGTAGCAAGCTTAGTAAAGGAGGGAGTGTATGTCAGCATTCCTAAGCGAAATCGCTAGAACCCGGATATCGATAGGCTATGTAGATAAAGGAATCCCGGGCACCCAAATGTGTCAGAAGAGAGCAGCTTTCATCACCCTCGCAAAAGCAAACTTGCTCGTTGCACCTGATTCTGTCCCACCAGAGCTCAACTGATCTGGGTAAATCTGACTTTGCCATACCAAGAGCTGGCCGTACCTGACCTGGACGAGCTGGAAGGTCGAATTTCACGTAAGCACATGTGGCACGCTTACCAGTATCGGTCTTGCAAATGACCCGACGACATAGATATGTGCGAGGGCACCCCCTTTGAAAACCATAGTAACGACTTCAAAGATGGACTCTTTTGGTTCTACCGCATATCAATTCTGTCTAGATCCCTCCTTCCCCGATGTGGACTTTGCAAACTTCCCAGACTTCTCCCAGCTGCTGTCAGATCCTGGCCAATTTGACAATGAGCCTCCAGCAAAGAGGACTCGAATGCGAGCGGCAAAGGCATGTCTTGCATGTCGCTCGAGGCACATGAAATGCGACTCTGTAGAACCGAAGTGCACGAGATGTCAATTGGACGCTAAGACTTGCATCTATACGAAATCTAGGAGAGGAGGGTCTCATAAACTTACCCCCTGTAAGGAGAGTCCTCGGATGCGGGATACGTCGACTGCAAGCAATGGAAGAACACCAGGGCTAGAAACAGATTTTGGATCCTTCGAGTCTTTAGCATCAGCACCTGCAACGGAAGGCCTATCGTATACAAATTTGTACGACGATGAACCCCGAAACGAACCGCAGGAACCTGACTTGATATCGCTGTACTATCGATATTTCCACTCAGGGCATCCAATAGTCCTTCCGTCTGCGCATCTTCTGTCGCGGCGGAAGACAAACCCCAGCTCACTTGAGCATCTGATTCCTGTCATGGAGTACATTGGAGCGAAGTTTGACGCGAAAATCGATTCGAGCAAGTACGAACAGATTGCAGATAAGGCGATTAGCTTAGCAAAGTTGCCTGCCAATGGATTCTCTGTCCAGACCTTGGTTTTATATGCACTGGCGAAGCATGCTGATGATTGGTACGATATTGCAGACATTTATGTCGACAGAGCTTCTAACATTGCTCTGTCAATCGGAATGGAACGAAGGGAGTTTGCCGCTCTCCATGGGGAAGGAGCTTCTGTTTTAGAAGAAAGCTGGCGCCGGACTTCGTGGACGCTCTATATGACTGATGCAGCATTTGCAGCTATAGGACATCGTCCAAAGCACAGACTTCAAAACGTGGATTTCGTGGTAGACCTGCCTTGTGAGGATTTAGAATACGAGACCGGGGTGAGCAGCTGAAATACGTTACTAGATTGTGGTGTTTCTGACGCGGGAACAGGACATTCCATCACCTCGAACTTTTGAAGAGTATGACAATCGCGAGTTTCTGGATGAGGAAGATATTATCTTCTCCTCTATGACCTATCTGATCGATGCAATCCGCATAGCTAGCTCCACGATGTCCTTTAAACACACACCTTATCTCTCTGATAGCCAAGGCATCATAGCTGCTGATGCGAAATTCGTGAATTGGTTCTTGTACCTGCCCAGATGTAAGCAAGAGGCTGTGAATGAAGATGGGACAGTTGATGAGACGATGTTTCTGGCTCTCATCACCCTCAATATGTGAGTCGCCTCATACTGCAAGACTACGATTATTGACCATATTTGTAGCGAGAAAGTGTTGCTCCATCGCCCATACTCTGCGTTGGCGTTCTCAGACATCGAGGCACGCTCGAAATGCACCCCTCCAGCAGATCAGCGGCAAAGCCGTGATATGCAACGCTCAATTCTCTTGCATACAGCTAAGGTGCTGGAAGCTACTACCTCCACTATCATGATGTTTGCTTTGCCAGCTCCCTTTATTCACCACTCTCCGTTGGCTATATGTGCACTGGCACTTGCAGTTATGGCGCAAGTCAGTGCTTGTAAACATGTATTGAGGCTTTCTGATAAGACAACGACGGATGAGAAGGCAAAATGCAGAGCAGAAGCGTATGGAATTGGCCGAGATAGAGTAAGACTCGGTCTTGGAGCTTTAAGAAGCGCCGTTCATGTCTGGGGGTTGGCAAGGAGAAGTGTGAGGGAGGTGGTTGGTGTAAGCAAGGAACTCCTGACAGGAGACTCTGCTGGCGAAAGTCCCGATTGAAGATGGAGTCTGTGATACAGTAGACCTCGAGTTGGCATGCTCTGCGTTGAAAAGGGATCATGTGTGGTCGAAATTCTTCTTTGTATTGTTGATGGGATGTTAACCTGCGGATGTCTCCGCTACAAAAGCGCAAGCACTGGATAATACCCTACCTTTATCTGCAATTTCCATTGATCCTACACGTCAATACTTCATTCTGTTAATACGCTCTCGGTCTTTGTTCTTCAGCTATTTGGTGTGTGCCTTCCCTACCTAAGTGGGTAGTCCACGCTTAAGGCTCCTTCCTCAAAAGGCTCCTTCCTTCCTTCCCCAAAACGCAAAACGCGTCATTGGGTTCTCTCAAACAGAAAACGACACCACCTCACGTCAACTACAAGATCCTCTCCCTCAACTTCTCCTCCCCGTCTTCACAAGTCATTGGACGTGTCTTTATCTTTGTCTTTCGCGCAGCCTTTCTCGAAGTCAACGCAAGGCAGAGAGGTTTGGTCATTATGTCTCCTCGTCCTCCTCCTCCCACCCCGGGTCAACCTCGAGCTTCGGCCGCAGGCATCAATCGTGGCGGTGGCTCAGGTTACGCGCCAGGTAGGAGTTGCAAATCCCCCGAAATCCCTGGTACAATCTAACGAATATACTAGGCCGTCCTGCTGGTTATAACAATACCAGAGTTGGTCCACCAAAGATTCGAGAAACCGTGCTTGTAAGCATTCCACAATTCGCCAGACAATGGAGAAATATGCTGATATTAAAGGTGGCCAATGGACCTGTCCTATCCGAGCAGGCACCTGCCCGAACACCACCTGGCCGAGAGCGTATCGTCACCAACATGACTGCGGATGACCCGACCAAGCCGTGGATTCCGACCCACTTGCGGCAACCATCTGCTTTTGGTGCGATTTGCCGTATGGCTGATATGACTGGCATGAGTAAGTATCTGGCTGATAATGTCCGTCCATTTCTGGGTCTTTTAATTAACCACTTTTAGAACTCGAAGAGTTGACAACTGATGGTGTCAGCATTCCAGGAATTCCGAGAAATCGTCCAGTTTCTCCGAACATCCCTCGTGCGAGTGCAATCCAACATCAAATGCCACCCCCTGCTCCCTCTCCTGCTGTCACTACACAGGATGAGGACGACCCATATGGCTGGATGGCCGCCATTGTCAATGGGCCAGACATGAGTGATTTTCATGTTGCTCCTACCGCTACAGTTGCCGAACCTGCTCGTGTAGCTTCTTATTCTGAGATGGATGTCGACATGGCCGATGACTCTGCTCCGATTGTCTCACCGAGAACATTCCACATTGGTACGTTGGCAGACTCCCAGTGGGCTTCCACTCGAAATTCGACTTTCCAACAAAGCCAACCGGTCTCTAGAGGCCCACTGTCGAGTTCCGTCTCCGGTCAACCCTTGAATAGCTTCAGCAACAGTACGGAGAATGTTAAGCCAACGGCCCAAAATGTACCTTCTCAGGCTCCAAGCCAATCGAATGCTCCAATTTCCACTGTCTTGACTCGAGCTCTCGCCGAGCAGAAGCCAGACAAGAAGTTGGCCACATTGAAGGATTCCCGTTGGGCTTAAGCCTTGGCTGACCATGCAATTGTCCAATACTTAGATTTCTTTGTTTATTGACAAGCTCCTTCTACTTCCTGCGAATTTCTCGATCTTGCTCTGCAGCTGCTGGTCTATTTCCGTCGTGGCATCTTTATGCATGGCGACTGCGCTTTGAGAGAAATGGGCCAAATAAGTTGCGCTTGGGCTGGTTTTGAATTATGTATTGATACTTTGCTTTTTTTTCAGTCGATCATGAGAGCGGTGATGATGTGTCGATGAATGATCGAGGGAGTGGACTGCACTTCTCTGATCTATGCGTGACGACTCGGACTTTGTATGTGTTGCTCTGGTATCCCTACGGCTTCCTTTCTTCGGATTTGAGGCATCATTGGACACCAAAGAAGCACAATACATCGCAATACTAGAATACAGGCAACCAGAAATGAAAATACATTAAATACAGAAATTTTCAAAACGCGTGCTGGAGGATCGTAATATGAAGGCTTCTAAGCTTAGAGAAGTAGGCTTGTGGACACCAACCTGCAGCTAACAGCAATGAGTCGTTGAGAAAGCCTTAATTCCTCGAATCTCTACCTCTGATGGGCTTCAAAACAGATTTGACACCCCAATACATGAAATATCGTCAGCACCATGGCCATTTGGTATAAAACTCTTTTCAGTTCATTGTTCCATGGTCGCGAACAGCTGCAATCACACTCTGCTTCTCTTCTTCCTCTACCTAGGTATGATCTTTTGCTTCCTTCTCTCTCGATTCTTTCTTAGAAACACCAACAAACGTATCTATTGCATTTATCTTCACACCCAGATACTCTCCCCTCTTCACTTCATCTAACCACGGGATCTTGATCTCAGGCACAGTCTCTCGCACCACGGCGATCAGTGCTTCCGCCCCAGGAGCAGAACTCAGAATACCAATGTGGGAAGTACGAGCAAGAGAGAGCAAGGTCTTCAATTGAGTTGTCTGAGGGTTTGATAGTGGGATCAGGCGCGTTGGTGGCAGAGATGGGTGGGCGAGAGATGAAGTGTAGATTAGGGTCGGGAGATGTGTTGTTAGGAGAGTAGGAGTAGTGGGTGCTGGTTGTAAGGCGAATATCACTGAGAAATGCTGGAGAGGTATCGAGTCGTCGGGAATAAGAGTCTCTTCTTCCTCTGTGTTGGCATCGAGTCTACTGTCTGCTTGCTCTGGCCTGGAAGCTCGAGATAAGGATTGTAGGTGGCGTAGGATGCTATTCAATCCTACTACGAGATGTTTTTGAATCTCTGGAGGTGGTGGCACATCAAGAGGTTCCACAGCCTCAGTGCAGGAATTCGAAACCGCCTTTTCTTTGGCTTCTTGACGTTTCCGCTTTTGGCTTCTCTTCCCTTTCGAAGGCATCACGTGGTCATTTCGATATTGGCCAATTGGAGAGAGAATCCTGTATTCAAGGTCAGTATGGGTTTGAAACTTCAAAGGAGATCATCTATGGAAGAAGGGATAGAAAATCGTGAGTGGATACCTGCAGAGGAGGTCAAATAGAACTTTTTGGTCCTTGTCTGAAATTTTAGGCCTGTAGATCGCATTAGCGGACAGGCCTTGAGAATGGTGGGAGAGCAAAGCTAGGCATGTTTTACTAACCATTCGACTGCTGTGAAAGGTGTGTCGAGCTGAAAAATTGTCTTTGCTTTGCGCTCCATGGTGTATTTACTGGATTGGTGCTTTGAAAGATCTGAATTTTTAATGCTGCCGATGGTGATTGGAGAGCATTAAAGTTGTATCGCACTGTATTGTAAATTACCTGTCGAATTAGCTGGGCTGACTGTTCGCTTTGCGTGCCGTCATTGTTAAATTTAGGTTGATTGGCAACATTCAAGGTCATTTTCGAGCTCGTAAGTCTGGTCACGTGGGCGAAATTGAGTTCACCCTCAAACCATGCAAGTGATGTGATCAAAATGCTTGCTTGTGCGAAGTGTCGACATTTGTGAGTTGCAGAGTAATGTTTATAGACTTACAGTTGGGTTATTGAATGAGGTTGAGACGTCCTAATGACACATTGGCTGATTACCAGGAAGCATCCAGCATCCTCGGCCTGGAGACTACCTGTACAACACCTGGCAGCTCTAGGTTTGTATCACATCACATCACATCACATCTTCCCATGTTAAGGAAGCCGGTCCAATCAAATTTTTGGTCATACACTAGGGCTATGCATGTAGCCGCACCTGCGTCAAGAGATCACCCTACAAGACAAACGCGTTCTAACCAGGTAGCACCTCGAAACCAGGAGACCGACAGCTTTGGATTGTTAAGAGACGTCTTCGTGTCTCTTTTGTCTGATAATAAAAATCGAAGTTTCCCTTGAGAAAGTGAACAAAGCGTCCTGCAACTTACCTGCTTTGGTTACATATTCTAGATGCAGGAGCTTCACAATATTAGCTCTCCGCTTTGAGAAAAAGCTGGTCAGTTAGGCCTGGATCAGTTCCATGGTGAGCACTTGTGTGTTCGAGCAACTTCGTGCTTCGATGGGATTGCGTACAGTACAGCAGAGAGCTTCCGCGATCGAGGCATGAAAGCTTTGATTCCCAAAGGTTGAAACAGTGGGGTGCATCTCAACGCCTCTGGCTGCATATAATGCAGAGCATCTACGATAGATGGTGGCAACACAATTGCGTCTCAATGCTCAATTTGTAAATTTGATCTGGTAACTGATATTGTATTTTGTGGTCTTGACTCTTGACCAGTGAATGACGCTGATTAGGATGAGAGCGAACAGGCTCCCTCCGCTCCATCGGTTGGTCAGGGGTTAGGTTAGGGAAGCGGAGCGGAGCTAGCAATAATACGTGATACCAAAGAAATATGAAAATTGTGCCCTAGCAGTATTAGGAGATTGGATGAAGTGAAGTGAAGTGAAGATTCCAAACGGAATACATCCAAAGAACATGCTGGTCACCTCTCGGCCCACGTCGCAAAGGGCTCCATCAATGATCAATCGTGAAGCCTCAATGAACGTCACTGGTGCCTGTTCTAAAGAACGCGAGTCCGCTTCGGGCTTAGCGTTCTCCGAGCCCCTCCATCGCTCGATAAGAGAGCAACACTGTCCAAATTTCTAGGAGCTTCATGAGATCGATATCGACAACTCGTCCCCAGATGGTTCTCTGCAGCTGCCTTTGATTTCATTGCATGAGTCTGCCTTTGATCCCGCGGGACCTTCCTTTCTACCCATTCCCATTCTTTCCGCAGCAGCAGCGCACATCCGCCAGTCGATCTCCCAAAAGCCCGAACCTCAGAATTACCTCTTTCCCATTTCCCATCTTCCATCGCGCAGCAGCTTCTCGACCTCTCGCGTAACATAACCGCAACCTCCACCGATGGGACCGCACACTCTATCCAACCCTTCTTAAGAAGCTTCTCAGCTCTTGAGCGGCGGAGCTGCCCGCGACCTCCCACGATCACTCTCGTAATTCATTGCTGCTCGCTCCTGCCAAATGGATGAAGCACCACGAGAACGCGCGATTTCCTCAGAGCCTTGCTCAGGTCGCCCAAACCCTTTCGACGACACAACCGACCAAACCTCTCGCAAGCGACAGCGGACCTCGCGCGGAGGCTCTCGGAGTCGATCAGTAGATACGGTTCCGCTTGGAGTGACAGTGGAGGAGTCGCAAATGCCACCGGCCTCGTCTTTACGCGGGGAACCTGCCAGCACCAAGGCTGAAGCTGATTCTCCTGCGCCATCTACTCCCACGCGTGCCTCGTCCGAGCAAGCACCTGCAGAACCTACCTCCAGTCGAGTCACAATCAATCTGCGGACCAATCGACCTCTCGATCCCATACCTTCCTCACCCCCTTCACCGGCAACCCCATCCAAGATGCCTGCTGGGCCCAGTGACAACGGAGCAAGAGCTAGTATTGAGTCGGAAAGCGATGCACTCTCCACAGTAGCTATGGAAACCCCCACATCATCTCCTTCTGCCATGGGCAGTCCAGAGATTGAGCTTGTTACAGGGGATGACGATATTTCAGAGTATGAGCACCGAAATCCGCCCGTCTCTATTATCGACGACGATGTTGTATTCTTAGATCCTCTTTCGACCTTTCCTTACTATGCGGAGGGAGCAGAGACACTGTCCACTGCGGTGACTAGGATGTCAAGATATTTTCAATATGGTATGTTTTGCGCTTACCACAGATGATTGGTGCTGACTTGCAAAGACGCAGTAGAGACTGACGAGGCATTTGTGAAGATGCGTGACTTCTTAGAGAATGTACTACATTCATATCGTCATTTGGATAGTTTCTACGAGACCTTTTCCAAAAACCAAGAATTCTTTGCACAGCTTCCAGATGTCTTTTGGGCACTAACTTGGAGAAGGTATGACAACACCGTTATCCGTGCGAACCCAGCTGATTCAGATGCATTAAGCCGCTTCTTTGGCGAATTTCTTCGACGAAACCGTGACGGCCGGGGAGCTCTAACTGATATGTTATGTCAGATGGCAAGACTCGCGGGCAAATTCGTGGCTATGGATGTCAGAACTCTATCATATCGCGCCCAACAAGACAATGAGGATCTAGAACCTGATCTATCACGAAACAGTCTTGGTGCGCTCGCTTACCTACTCCGCGAGGATGAAGTCAATCATCTTGGGCGTAATCTGGAGAACCATTATAATTGGAATTGGGAGGAGGATGTTGCTCAGATGTCCGACAGTTTCCAGACGGAGGGAGGAACCATTCCGGCACTCACGAAGCTCGTCCAAGGCCAGCTGAGGCTTATCTCCAGGTTCCCAAAGTTCATTGACAACCTCACCGATCCTTGCCGACTCGTGAGCAGGATTGTTAGTGACGCAAGCCGATATATCGACATGGCCGATGTCTCGCAACAGCAAACAGTCGATGGCGCCAAGCAGAAAGTCTTTCAAGGCTACGAGTTCTTCAGAGTCATGTCCGCTGGTCTAGAAACCATCATCGAGAAACATGTCACTTTCTTGTCGCCAGATGCTGCTCTTGGCCACTTGAACTGCCTGCACAACATCTTAAAGAGAAACTTGCAACTCAATCCAAAAGCTTATCGCGATTTTGTGGAACAACAACGACGCGACCACTCTATGCTTACTAGACAACAAGCACCACAAGCTTTCTCGTTGGAGTGGAAATTTGGCATACTGAAGAAGTTGATCACTTCGGCTCAGATGCAATTGCGTGTCACAGGTGTCACGACAATGTGTGCTGACTTGCTCGCTCTCTACTCAAAGCAGAAGAACAACGACGTGTCACATAATCCCTATCTCCTCTACCCTGCGGAGTTCATCATTCAGAACCAACTCGTCGATTATATTGTAGGTATTGGATCACATCCCGAGATCATCAACGAGAGCAACAACATCCTAGGCTTTCTGATTGTGACGAAGACGTACAAGGCCAAGCAAACAGATATGATATGGCAGACAGTCATGAACAGCCAGGATCCCAGGGTCGTAGAAGCTATACTGCGAATGGTCAATCGGTGTCACAATCTCTATGACTATCGATCGTTGCTCTATCTCTGCAAGAAGATTAGCGATGTTCCATTGTCCTCGTTCAGCGGGGCAATGCGGGAATATTGCAGCAACTTGTTCCTCCAGCTAGTGGTCAAAGCCCACGACGCAAGCGTGGCTTACATTGACGCACCACCATACGAGTTGTGTGTCCGACTGATTCGGGAGGCATCCGTCACGACTCTTGAATATTCTGATGGTTATGTTGATTTGCAAAACTTTGCTACTATCAAATTTCGGGAATTACTAGGCAACGGACCAAGTCCCGACGTTCGGAACGCTATCTATTTGGGCTGTATCCAAGATATCTCCACCAAGACTGCTTCCACTGCTGGCAGTATTTGTGTCATCAACGCACTTCTTCGAGCACCAGGTGTCCCTCCCGGTATGAGCACTGACCTGCACGTCTTGACTTCTGAGCACGGATTGACTAAGCTGTTGGTCGACGAATTGGAATCAGTCATTTCTGTATGTGGCAGTGAACCCATCCCAAACAGCCCAGCAAGCACAGCACGCCGTGAGTTGCTCCTTGCTATCATTATCGAAAAGCCAGACTCGATCTCGCCTGAGCTTGGCGAACGATTATGGAATGCACTAGTGGGAAGCCAGTCGAAATCATCAGCAGAAAGAAACATATCTTGGCAAATCTTGAATACTGCAGTCCAAAGATCATCCACCTCCAAGAACAGCTTCCTCGCTTCCTGCTTCCGAGATCATCTACCTAGATTGCCGTCTTATTGCTTTACCAGAGGCGCATTGGATTTCGCTCACGTTGCAGTGCGTTCTTGGTTGGAAGAAGCTCGTCATGACTTTGCTGAAGAAGGAAGCAAATTCGAGTCACCTGCACTTGAGCAACTTTGGCACATGATCCTGACGGCACCTGCTAATACCATTGATGCAGAAGCTATCAAGATCCTTGTGGGAGTCTTTGTGGACTCTGCTCTGATCCTATCTATTCCACGTCCAATCGCTCGCCATGTTCACCTAACACTGGTTGACCGGTGCCTGAAGCAGCTCAAAGGTGCAGCTTCTCAGTTGAAGGCATTCAGTGATGGTGCTTCGAGTGGATCTGATGAAGGAATGGTCATTGTAGCATCCGAAGACCAATTCCAAGAGCAAGAAAAGACCTTTGCCCGCTCCTTGGCCGTGCTCCGAGAATTCCTACGAGCCTACCAGATTAAGCCGCAGTTTGCGAGTCCGAAATCAAGATCACCGATTGCTGCAGCTACAACTGCTGTGGAAGGCGAGCTCCTCACGCTCAAGTATCAATCATTCGATGGCGACAAGCAAACCGAGATCAAGAGTCTTGCTCTTGGTAAGTTGAACACCGCAGCCTCGCTCTTCGCTACTCTGCAGAAGGCCACGGGATTCAAGAACTACAAAGTCTACTGTGGAGGAAGAGAGATCAACCCAGATGAGATAGAGGTCTGCAAGTCGCTAGAAGAACTGAACATTAATGGCCTAGTTCTTGTTCGCAGTCGGGAAGCCTCAGATATACACCTAACTAGTAAAGGCTCACTAGAAGCTGAAATTACGAAGCATTTCGACGATCTGTGGAGCTATCTTGGAATGCATGAGAAAGTGGCACAAGAGGTACGAGTACACCATGAATCGTCTGTTGTCCAGCTACTAACTTCACAACTAAGATATATTATTTCTTGATCAAATTTCCTGTCTATGCGCGTATGGTGAAGGACTTTGAGTCGGATGTCTCGTACGCAGAGATATTCCCTTCTGGCCAACCCTTCAAATCACTATACGCCATCCACTGCCTACGAGACCACATCACTGCCCAGTCAAAGCAGGTAAATTCATCTCGTTCACTAGATTTATGTTCGCGTCTAACCAATCTAGGGAACACTTCAGGAAGAAACCCTGTTGAGAGCCATCCAACTTCTAGTCTCAGCAATATCGGACCCCAAAGTTCTGGATCAATGTGGCGGTGACAGTCTCAAGGATTGTCTTGCTTTGCACCTGCTAGACTGCTTCATACAATTACTTAAAGGTGAACCGTTCTTCCCTGTTTTCGTTTTCGGGGCTAATTGCGGTATAGAATCGCCACTTCCAAAGTCCCTAAATAGCCTCCTCGACGAGACTTTACTCGAGCGTCTCTTACAGTTACTGTATGGTGCAATGGCAAGCGCTACTTCCCAGAATTCTGTACACTTGACATGGAGATCATTTGAGGCCATCCTGGACGCTGTCTCTCATTGTTCCGACCTTTGGCAGTCGTTCGGTGCTCATTTGAGCAATAAGACTCTCGTACGAGATCTTCTTCTCGACGATGATCGCTCAGCAATTCGAAAGAGTGTTGTGAAGCATGTCACACAGAAATGTAGCTCAAGCCCCAGGTAAGACCATCGTTCTTATAACAACCGGATAAATCTAACTCTGATACACTAGCTCTTCCCAGCTCACGACAAACCACTTCGCTATGACGTTCTGGCCTAAGATTGCTGCATTAATCCCAGTAGCAACACAATATCCGGAGCGTTGCGAGGAGACATTCACTTTAGCACTTACTTTGTTCAATAAGTTGGCAAACGCAGACACTACTGCTGGCTTCTTTAATCTGAATAAACTAGTGAAGGAGTGGGGCACTTTGCTGCTTGCTTACTCATGCGCAGAGGTATGTAAAGCTCAGCATCTAGCTATAACATACTAATCCCTTCGCAGACTGTTGGTCATCTTGAGAGCGTTGATATGGTTGCGCATGGCCTCGCAAATCTTCTCTTATCAGCTGCGCAGCGTGCAAAATCCTCGCGGCAAGTACTGGCGTGCGGGTAAGTGTTGCTCCTTCACATATCTATCTGAAACTAATACCTCTAGGTCGATCGGAACGGAATTGTTCAGGAGACATCTCTTCCCGGAGTTCTCTGTGTCACAACTTAGCAGCGATGTGGTCGTACCTCGTATTCCCTTGCTCAACCCGGCGACTCGACAAATCTTGGCGGAGACGATATACTTCTTGGTCAAAGATGACGAGCGACACTATCAGGAAGTGGTGGCCTCTATGTCTGGACTGGTGCCGTATGCGCCTGGCGACGATGGTAGGTCTCACAATACATCACTCATGTCTAGTGCTAATCCTTTGGCAGGGCCGTACATCTACGATATGAGCTTTCAATTCGAGAGAGCCAAATCCATCAGATCCCACACTGGATATGTTGGCCTTAGAAATCTTTCGAACACTTGTTACTTAAATTCGCTCTTCACTCAACTGTTCATGAATATTCCGTTCCGGGAGTTTATGCTGCAGGCCCATGTCTCCAATGGTCTTACATCGCAAACCTTGTTGTTCGAAACACAACAATTGTTTGGCCACATGCAGAACAGTTTCAAGCGTTATGTGGATCCCGCAAATCTAGCAAGCTCTATTCGAACCTACGAAGAAACCCAGATTGATGTCACTATTCAGATGGATGTTGACGAATTCTATAACCTTTTGTTCGATCGTTGGGAGGGCCAGATTCTGTCTCCAGATGCGAAGCGAAAGTTCAGATCTTTCTACGGCGGCCAACTTGTGCAGCAGGTCAAATCTAAAGAGTGCCCCCACATTTCGGAACGCTTTGAGCCATTCTCGGCTATTCAATGCGACATCAAAGGCAAAAGCTGCCTGCAAGAAAGTTTACAAGCTTATGTCGATGGCGAAGTCATGGAGGGCGACAACAAATACAAGTGCTCACAGTGTGATCGCCACGTCGATGCGGTGAAGAGAGCTTGCTTGAAAGATATTCCGGACAGTCTAATTTTTCACTTGAAGAGATTCGACTTTAACCTGCGCACTCTGCAACGAAGCAAGATCAACGACCACTTCTCATTCCCCAAGACGATCGATATGAAACCTTACAAAGTCGAGTATTTGACGGACAGCCCTGAGGAAATCCTGGAAGATGTATTCGAGCTAGTTGGCATCCTCGTTCATGCTGGAACTGCTGAGTCAGGACATTACTACTCCTTTATTCGCGAAAGACCTTCTACTAGCGACAAGGACGCGTGGATCGAGTTCAACGATGACAATGTCAGCCCATGGGACCCTAATCTGATGGAAAGTGCCTGCTTTGGAGGACCTGAGTACCGTGGTCCTCTTGACACGGGCTTGCAATACGACAAGACCTGGAGCGCTTACATGCTGTTCTACCAACGTTCAAGTAGCCTGACCGCACAGTACCAGTCTTTAGAGCGTACTAAGATGACTAGCCCCGTCAGACTCCAAGTTCCGACACCGCTTGCGAATCACATCGCTATGGAGAACGAGATTTTGATGCGCAAATACTGTCTGTTCGACCCCTCGCACGCTACATTCGTCATCAAGATGCTCTCTAACGTCAAACAAATCAATGGTGGACGTTGTTCTGCACTACATCGCATGGAAAAGGATTCACTCAATGCAGCCGCAAACCATCTTGACCAAGTCTTTTCACGCACCAAGGACATCCCAGACTTTCCATCTTTCATGATGGCCATTCGCCAGATATGCCACAACTGTGCAGAATGTTGCCGCGATTACTTGGAATGGTTTTTTGATTGTCCCGAGGCTCTCAAGGCATTGCTACTTCGCAATCCTGATATGGTCGTCCGCAATGATATTGCAGCCTCTATCCTCTATGCCCTGACCAAAGTCAGGCTTGAGGCAGCATATGCTTACGGGCTCGGCGACGATGAAGACAGCGTTGATGATGTCGAAGACAGCGACCCTCAGCTGCTTCAGAGGATGGTCAAGGCATTGAGCAAGTTATTCGAGGTCTTTCAAACTCACGTCCGCGCCTGGCCGGAATACTTTGGACTCATCTGGAGCATTGCCAAGATTGGTAAACGCGAAGCCACTCTTTTGCTCGATGCTGGCTTTCTGCGTAAGTCTCTTGAGATCGTCAGTGCGGATCCGCTGCTTCCACTTAGCGTCCAGTACCAAAAGATGCTCAACACCATAACCAAGCGCATGGCCTCCAGGCCTGTAGCATACGACAGTGTGATTGGTCTTATCTCGACGTTGATGCAGACCTGCGATGTCACTCTAGATCCCGTAGCTGATGATGACGAACGACTTGACTTTGCAGTTCACGACTGTCCAATTCCTTTTACCGTCACAGAGCGCCACCTTATCATGCAGCATTGGACGAGAAATCAAGCTCATATCCTTGTTGAGAAGCTGTGTATGATCGAGCAGAACCAGGCTGCTACGGAAACAATCCTCATTGATCTTCTTGACTGGCCGGAAGCTCTAGATCAGAATATTCTCGCAGCCATCCTATATGGCATCAAGCAAAGAATGCATACCCGCTCGTTCCTCAGGGCAGCGTTGGTCTATGCTGAACATTCGAAGAATCCCAAAGCTTTCACTACGGTCTACATGCATGCAGCGAAGATCGCTGCTCATGTTGATGGAGATGGCAAGGAATTTCTACAGTTCTTCAAGAACCTTCTTGATATAGAAGGTGAAAACTTCATTTCTAGCCAAGAAGAGATACACAAGCTTTCTCTTGATCAACTACACATCTGGGCTCCGGCATTATTGACTGATCCTGATCAATCGGTACGAGAGGCGACAGAGGAGCTATTAGAGGTGCTTGTTCTCACTCATGGTCCCGAAATTGACTTTGGGGGACCAGATGAGGACCAGGCACAGACCGCTTTGGTCGTATTGACAGCCAAGAAACTGGGTCTCGCTTGTCTTGACTATATGCACGAGCGTTTCATTCGCCAGCGTCAAACTGCTGTGCGGACAATGCTCGATCCGATATTTAACGTGGTGGAGAAGATCAAGGAGTTCTTTGATCCCGAAGATCGAGATGATGTCTACACTCATCGTTTCTTTGAGCAGTCATCAGGTGTGTTATCCTTGAAGGCCTTGCAGCGCCCTGAGCTGACTGATTGCTTAGCTGTTCTTCCTACATTAAAAAAGTGTGCTGTTGAAGAGGTCGAAGATGATATGTCTGGTAAGGATAAATGATACACGAAACGATGAGTGGCGACTAACTCGCACAGATTGGGATGGCTCAGACGATGCCTACGATGATTCTTCGGAGCCGCCAATGGATAGACTCGGAGACCTTTGTAGTCAAGATCCGCTGTGAACCCTCACGTGCGAACGACTTTATGATTGCTTTGCTTTGCTTTGCTGTTAGGCGTCGGTAGCGAATGGGACCCATGGTTGGGAAAATAACTGATAAACTGCTGGATGCACGGAAACTGGCGCAAATGAGGCGTACAAATCGTTTCTTATGGAAGTGCTGAATGCTTCAGGCTTGCACGGCATTCTTCTTTGACTTTCATTTCCTGCTCCTGCTTTGATTCGATTTGAGAATGGTACGGGACACAGTACTTTGGTTGGCATACGATTGAGCGCATCGAGAGTGGATTGACAGGGAATTGCGGGTGGTGCTGAATTAGATGGCCTTATCTCCCTCGTGCTTCTTGTGGTAGATTGACGAGGAAGAAGTATGAGGTCAATATCAGTGGGCTCTTGCGCCGTCATAATTAATTGTAGTCTTCTGTATGTTGTGAGATCGAGAGTGGAAATTAAAGTTCATTTCAGACCTCTTGTCGTATCGTTGAACATACCTCGAAATCCATGTGATCAGCCTTATTGCTCGATCAAGCTTCACTTAACATTCCACACTCCAATTGATCATGGGGGTAGTCTACTGTAGCCTCTACTCAGAGGCCCATGACTTTAAGCACACCTAGGAACGTACTCACGTATCAAGGAACAGGTGTGGTTGATGTGAATTTTGTGATTGGGTCTTAAGGTAAAGTCTTGCGAAACAAATAAACAAATAAACTCCTCGCTTTTCTCAATTACCCTCCGAATATTATTTCCAAAGCAACGAAGACCGCCCAACTCCCTCAAGAAGACAAGCAATGACGCCAAAATGCACCGATCTACTCCAGCATAAATCCATGAGTTCGGAACGCTGGTGCAAGAATGCTTTCAAGAAGTGGAGGCCGGTTTGCGATAGTGAGCAATCAGGCGGCCTGCCAGATGCTCACTTCCACCCGCACTAAAATGTTTCTGCATGTTGTCCATGGTCTTCTTAGCGAACATTTCACCCCGAGGAAACATGTCGACCTCATATTGCTTGACAACTTCTGCCAGACTCTTTCCTTCACCTCTCTCAACGAATTTGACAACTTCTTGTGCCAATGACAGAGAGTCCATCATGGCTGCATTGACACCAACTCCGCCGAATGGGGTCATGAGGTGAGCCGCATCTCCGATGAGAGTAACGCCAGGTCTCGACTCCCACGAAAATCCCACTGGTAGCTGATAGAGAGTGCGTGGAACCAACTTGTCTTTGCTCTCTAGGATCATTCTCTTCAAGTCTGCACCGCAATCATCGAAATACTCCTTGACGTATTGCTCCTTAGCAGGGCCGGGGTTGGTCCAGTCGATACCGCAGTCCTTTAGGAATGACTCAGGTTTTCGGAGACAGGCATATGTTCTCACGCTGCCATCACCAATGCGTTGGATCTGAATGGTACGGCCTTCGCCAAATGAATAACAGCTACCAGCACCAGCATACTCGGCCATCCAGGGGTTCTCCTTGACAACGTCGTAGGTCCAGCACTCGATCAAGCTGATACCGGAGTATGTAGGCAAAGTGTCAGAGAGTAGCTTTCGGATCTTTGACCAAGCTCCATCAGCGCCGACGAGAAGGTCAAAGTCCTTATCAATCGAGCCATCCGCAAAGTGCAAATCGTACTTTCCACTTTGGCCAGCAATAGCTTCCTTCAAATGCTTGCCCCAACGAATAGACTCTGGCTTGACGGCACCAAGTAAGATCTCCTTCAAGGCGGAACGGTCAATTTCAGGACGATTGGCGAACTTCTCTTCTTCGGGAACTTCACGCTTGTCGGTCGTGTTGCCGTCCCAGAGAACTTCACCGTCATTCTTCACAATCTTCAGAACGTCTGATTCTGGTCGGGCGTATTTGGTGAATTCTTTCCAGAGACCGGCTTCGACGAGTGCAGCTTGACCACCTCTGGGGTGGAGGTCAAGAGTTCCCCCTTGGTTGCGCTCGTTAGGCGATGAATCTGAGTCGTAGATGGTAAAAGAGATGTTGTGCTTTTGGAGGATGGCACCGAGAGTTAGACCCGCCGGTCCAGCGCCAATGATTGCGATTTTTGGGGTTGTAGACATGGTTTTGTTTTGGGGGTTGGTGGTTGGTGTTTGTATTACTGAGGAGGAAGAAAAGTGGAGATGGAATTCTTCGGGGTTAAGTGCTCGAAATTAAATGGTTTGCTTGTATTTCGTAGATTAACGGATGTTTTTGATTGAGTGAATGTCGGAATGCAAAGGATTTGGAAGGACTATAAGTAGTTGTTGGTGAATAATTAAGTGGAACGGAGTTTCATGGTACCAAAGTGAGGCCCTCGGAGTGTCCATGGCATGGCTGCAGCTACCCTGCGTTTTGTGCCTCCCAACACAACATTTACCACTGTAAGGCGACCAATCGTATGTGGCAACAAATGAGATTAGAACCAACATGCTGCAATGTTGGAACTTCCAGTGTCCGACGGCATTGGAATGACCAACACAGAAGTCCGAGATTCATCGCACCGCACTTCCACTTGCACCGAGACCTTGTCATGTCTGTTGGGTTTTCTCTTTTACGCCCCTCCGAACCGAGGTCGACTCGGATCCGGCGCCAGAAATCGCGCATTGAGAAAGGTGCATCGTCGAAGATAGCCAAATGTAAAAGGCCAACATACGAGACGACAAATGGTTGGAGTTTGCATACGAATGATCTTACGCAATTCATCGTTGCCTTCAGGTCTCTAATTATTCCCTTGGCCCCGAGGTAGGAATCCAGGAGAGCTCGAATATCCGACTTCGCTATCCAACCTCCGACACAGAGGAAGAGTCAACATAATGTTCTGCATATGCCATATTGTATCGACTTTGAATGTTCGTCGCGGCTTCTTACAATTGATTGGCCCGTGATTAGAATACCGAACTTGAATGATCGTCCATCTCATAAGAGATCCATCTTCTTCGGGAGAATCCCCCATGCTATGGATACAGCTTGACGATCTCGAGTAGGCCCAACTGCTTTTCTCCAGACCTCAACAAGTAATACTTGGAAGCTTTATATGGAGTAGTTCCTCATTCTCAACCCACAAAGAGTATCTCTCCTACTACCATACGCGAATGAACTGTGATGTGCCACACATTCACCCACCTTTCTTCCATCGGAAAGTCAAACTGACCCTCTTCCAACCTAAATCTCGTCCTTTCTTCGTCCGAAGGATTTCATGCTGCCATTTCCATCTACTTTCACCCCTCATCACACACAAGCTCCTCCCCTCCAGATGCACATCTTTAACTCGTCCTGTCTTCTCTGCCCTGGCAGCTTTGCCACTCCTGACACTTCCCCCATCTTCCTTCTTTAGCTCATGGAAACGCAAGTAAACAGGACTCAATAACGACAAGCCTACCACAGGTTCTCCAAACGAGAAGTTCTCCACATGCGCCGAGATCCCCTGGTCGTCCAAATACTCATTTACGATACAATATTGGGGGATCTGATCAGCGCCAAAGACTCCCTTGGCAACAAATCGGTCAAGCAACCAAGATAACTCGAACGGCATGGGAGGAGCTTGCAAAACCTGTGGCTTGTTGCTTCTCGTTTCATGCTCCCCTGGGGAGGCGGCGTGATCACTCGAGGGGGCCGCTTTCTTCTTTGGTAGCAAACAGAACGTCCCGCCGAAATGCATACATCGGCGCTTGAGATCAGTTCTCCAGGTACATTTTGCGGGATCATTAAGAAAGTCAAGGAGTTGCTCCTCTTCATCTTTCGAAACGAATTCCCGAAGGACGGTAAGCCCGGGTACGGCGGGCGTTACGAGTGGGAGGGGCTCCGAAGTTGCTTTCAGTGTGCCAGGAGACTGTCGTTTTGATGCAAAGAAGTCCGAGATTAGCCTTTTGCGTTTATTAGGGGAGCTTTGTGCCTGATATGGTGCGGGATCAAGCGACATTGAGGAGTTGGTGATGCTATCTTGGGAGACAGCACGAACGTCTCGTGGGTGCAGATAGATGTACAGTATGTGTGCGCGTGCCTGAGTGGGAAGTTTATTTGGCTCCCTTGCAGATGAGAAGGGATATTCGAGTCGAGTCGGGTAGTGAGCGTCATCAACAACAAAAATAGATGTCGGTAGTCCCTCTCACTCCGGCCATTGATAGATGGGCTCCTAGATGTCTCCTAGATGTCTCCCAAATGTAGTGAGCGGTCGTGTTTCTATTCAGACGCAGGTGCGTAATTATTCATACCTCACCTCACCTCACCTCACCCCACCTCTTCACCCACTCAAAGCGAGAAGCGCCACCAGGTCTGTTTCCCGGCCCCAACCCAACATGCATCCAATCACTCACTAACTTGTTTCAACGCCAAAATAGCATCATGTTTCGAGTTTCGAGTCTCACGCGCTGAGTTTTTTTCACTGGACACCTCCTGTACCTCGTACCTCCACGTCTCCATGCCGTTCTTGTGGGGTACAGTACGAAAGCTGCTATTTTGGACAGCTCCAGAACCAGAATCCAGGGACGGAGACTGAGAAAGGTAAGGATCTTACCGCTTTCCTTAAATTTATTCTAGGAATCAGCCACAGGACGCTTTCGTCCAGCTTCGTATATTACATGTAGGTCTGCACGACTTTCTCTGCATTACAAACATTGCACACATATCTCAGTCTTCAACATGCCTATCACCAAATCCTGTATCTCGCCGCCAATTGAAGCAGGCCAATCACTCCTCGACGCCATGCAGCTTCCACCTCAATTTACCAACGCTCTAGAATACGTTTCTAGCAGATTGGCACGAAAGCGACTACACCTCTCCCTCATCGTGGTTCGCAAAGATGTACAAATTCCCGGCTCTCCATTCGCACAATGTCCACAATCACCAGCAACCTTCAAGAGATCCGCGAGCAAGAGCTCCCTCAGCTCAGTATCAAGTTCCAGCTCCACCTCTTCTACAGCTTCGGTATCCCGAACGATTCGACCCAGTCTACCAACGTCACCAAACCCATTTGGTGTCAGTCTCATGCACGCGAGTACTTTGACCGAAAAGGCCGAGAGAATCTTGCAGCACACCGTTGCCAAAGCAGAGAAGAAATTCTCTATTGGGTAAATAGCTACTTGATCTTAGATTGTCAGCCTCGCATACTAACATCCAATCAGGTCCGGCTGGCTTTCCTCCCAACCGCTCCCAACGCTCCAAGCCTCCTCGACAAATGACCTCATTCGTCGCTCTCTAATTCAGAACGAAGTCATCTTCTCCTCCGAGGGTCTGACTCTACTCTCTCTCGATCACGTCTACACTTTCAAAAGCCAATTACACACCTACTCTCGCTCATTAGCCCCATCCGACTTGACTTGTGCTGTGGATGAGCTCCGTCGCCTTGTTCTTGCCCAAGGCGGACGAAGGGTCACGAAAGGATATCTCATGCGAGCATACGACTGGTTAGGCATCAGCCTGTCCGCGCTGGTAGATGTCAATGAAGGCTACAAATTCGCCTACGGAGGCAGTCAGCGATTTGGAGGCATTGAAGTTCAGAATGAGGAAAGACGAACACCTCCTCCTCTGAACACATTTTTTGCCACTCGGGACCTCAAGCTCATGAACACTTATGTGGCATATGAGGACCAGAGTTCTGAAGGTACCAGCAGTTTGGGAAGCGCAAGCCAGGAGGAGAGTGTGGTCAGCCGCTGGAGGGAGGACCGAGGACCCCATCTGCGTGGACCTGCTACTCCAAATGGGTTTGAGGACCTCACACCTGTGACCCAGGAAGAGTGGTCCTTCTTGATCAACAGTGACAGCTGGAACGGGGCCAGAACTGTCGCAATAGAGACTTGTTGATATTCTTGTTTACAATATTTGCATATCTATTTAGCGTTTCCTTTGTTAGCATCCGAAAGCAAGAGCTGCGATCGGATGAAGCATTTTAGACTCGAGCATTTAAGCATTAGAACGGTGTCCAAACATATTCAATAAAATTCAAAGACCATGTCACATATCTACCATGTCTCAACATATCTGAACGAGACCGAATGCGAGAAATTTGGCGAGTGCCATGGTTATAATCCGAGATCATCTCGTGGTGCTAAAACCATGCTCATTTTCGTTAATACAATGCTTGGAATCCCGAGGTCCTTTTCTGTTATGTGCCAAGTCTTGATTCAAGACTTCATTCTTAACTTTATCGAACTCGAAGTCATGGCGGTCTTGTGATTACGTATCTAAATGATGTCGACGGCAGTGCTGCATTCGGTGCCGTATCTCGGCATTACCTTTTCGGTCTGCAAAACGATAAAGCACGCATGGCACGATCACAAAATCTGTACTCGCCATGCGGGGCAGAGAGCTAGAAATTATTGGCGCATGTCAAGTTTTGACAAATGGTATTCTCTGATCCTTAATGCAGCAATATGCCATTGCCCTGGTCATGCAGTCGTACGGAGTCGTGCAGAGCAACAGCACCTAAGTGTTTCTCAAATGAGCACATTCCTGTTACGAATAAATACATCGAGGTGCGCAGTCGAAATCTCGGTACGCACTCACTAATATTATCTTATTCACGATGCTACTGTAGGAAATTTGCAAGGAAACTATTATTGCAGTATGTTGGCGCTCTTGAGGCTGTTGTCCAAACACAAAGCCGCTCTTTTCGTGGCTGCGGTTGCGAGCACGGCATCTTTGCTATTTGGCTACGATACAGGTGTTGCCGGATCTGTTGTTGCCCTCAAAAGGTGGATTATTCGTCGAGCTCTCAGTCAGGATTCGAGGAATGAACATTCTAACCACTGCTTAGCTTCTCATCAGAATTCAAATTCTCTACCGATGCTGCAAAAGCAGCTGACATTTCCTCGAACATTGTCGCTCTCTTGAATGCCGGGGCCTTCTTTGGAGCTTTAGCCCCTGCTATTTCATCTCGATACTTCGGGCGCAAGATCGTGATAAGTGTTGCGGCCTGTTTTCTCCTTCTGGGAGGGATTCTACAAACTGCTGCCCAGCCGCTAAGACTGTCCATGATATATGGTGGCCGGGTGATATCTGGGTTTGGGGTGGGCATGGTCAGTAATCTCGTTCCACTTTACGTGGCGGAAACTTCGCCGAAAGAACTTCGTGGACTTCTGATGTCGCTTTTCGAGATGTTTCTTGTTAGCGGCGGGCTGTTGGCTTATTGGACAACCTATGGTTGCTCAGTGCACTTAGAGCCGACAAGTAAGCAATGGCGGATACCCTTGAGCATCCAGATCACTCTTGCAGAAATTGTACTTGGAGGGTCCTTCGCCATTGTTGAATCTCCTAGATGGCTCGCCAAACAAGGCAGGTGTACGTTTATTCCATTACTACGTTACGGGAGCGTCGGAGCTACGAGCTGTCTCAAAGATTGAGACATTCGGCAAGCGAGGATCATCATATCGCAGCTGCCAAAATGCAAATAGCTCCCAGAGCTTCCTTCCAGATTTTCAACACTCTATAATAATAACTGACTGCAGGGGATGAGGCTGGCGCTACGCTCGCTTATCTAAGGGGTATTTCCTCTGACGAATCCGAGTTGAAGTGCGAGCTTGCTGAGATGTATGCACAGTTGGATGAAGAACTCCGCACCACGGCAGGAAGATCTGTCAAAGAAATGCTCCAACGAGCGAATTTTTTCAGAATACTCTGGGGCTGTGGCATTGCGTTCTTCAATATTTGGTGTGGTAGGTTTTCATTCCTCTGGCGAGATTGAAAGAAAATACTAATCTGAAAGGGCAAAACGCCATCCTGTATTATGCCCCAACCATTTTCAAGCGGATTGGGTTCAGGGGCCAGAACCCAGCACTTTTCGCCAGTGGGATTTTCACAGTCATCAAAGTGGTTGTCACGATTGCCTTCCTTGTCTTGGGTGTGCAGAACTTTGGCAGGAGAAGCATACTCTCTGTGGGGAGCTTCTGTATGATGGCAATGCTATTCTCACTGGGCGCAGTCTTGAAGACCCACCCTCCAATTACCGGGCAATCAATTAATAACTCTCCAAGTGGAAGAGCGAAGGTACGTTGTTGAAAAAACGATCATTGAGCTGCACAGTACAGTCGCTGATCGTGTCGCCAGATGGCTACAGTTTATCTGTATATCATCGCCTATTCAATGTCATGGGGTCCTCTGATCTGGGTGTACATGGGAGAGTGAGTATCTCGGAGCTTCAGGATGCGGCGCAGAATTGACTCCGTACAGGATCTTCCCAACTCGAATTCGTGATTATTCGATGGCAGTGGCAACCATGGTCGTGTGGTTCTTTAATTTCGTGGTCTCGAAATGGACGCCAGCGATGATATTACATATTGGATGGAAGACTTGGATCGTATGTCAAGCTATCAATCGTCCACTTTCACCAAACAAGCTACTCTTGACAGGTTTTCGGGACAATGAATGCTGTTGGATTTCTTTTCACTCTGTTCTTGCCGGAGACGAAGAGCTTATCGCTGGAAGAAATGGACGTTCTCTTTCACGTGGTGGATCAGTCAACCCGCCTTCATGATATTGAAGACTACATCGCCACTCCACAGCCAGAAGCTACTAACAAATCTGAGCTCTGAGTATGTTCGGCTTTGGCCGCGATGAAAACACAAGTCGGGGACATCGTAGTGTGCGCCAGGACTGCATAAGTGTTTGATACATGATTCATCCATTATACTCACTTGTAATATTCTATAATTTCCCAATTGTAAGTCCCATAGGCCATCCTTTGAACTTCAGCTTTGCAGATTGATTGGGGAGATAGGTACACCAATCAGAGCCAGACATGACTGTGAGTGGTTAGGGCTAGTGCAAGTCTGCTCTCGTTTCCTTTCCAATGTGGAATCTGAACGTTCACATTAGCCTGAACTTCTTATCAAATCCATTTGCCGATGTAAATCAGAGATCCCATTGCCGAGTGTACACTTTTGCCCATTTCACTACATCCCAGTCTATAATTCTCCCGCACATAGCCGTGTAAACTTTATCATAAGTGGATATAAGGTACAATTGACGCTCTCCCATAGTTTGATATTCCATTTCCTCCTCTCTCTTGCTTACAAAATACAACTTGCTATCAATCAAGCACAAGTACAGCCATGCGGTTTATGACCACTGCCCTTCTCGTTTTCGACGCATTAGCCAGCTTCTCGTCTGCTGCGAGCAATAGCTCGTGCGATACTTCGACCGATGCCTGCGTCGACGTTCTAGACAACAGTCATTGTCAAATAACAGCTGTCGATAGTGGAAACAAAACTGCATTCTTGGAATGCTTTCAGGGAGGGTACAGCTCGCTCGCGCCAGTCACGAAGGTAAACTCAGTAGCATGTAAGGTGATTATGGATATGCATGTTAATTCGATACAGATTTGTCAGTGTGTTGGTTGTGTTGGGAACCCGATTGACACTTTCATCACGAATAATACAATTTGTACCTAGTCGGAAAGATGAAAGAGAGAGAGGTGTTGATTGAAATACACAATTTGCATCTCGAACATTCAGGCACCTTTGATCTTTTATGGGAATGATTTGGCAAATATGCTTTTGATTGAGCTTGGAATTCTTTACGTTTAGTTTATATTATTTTCCGAAATACGATTAAGAAATTAAGAAATTAAGAAATTAAGATGTTTTGCTTATTAATATAGATATTTATTATCGAAATACTTTTCACTACGAATTGATCCCGGCACTAAATTGACCGAGTCGCGACAAGAATCAAAATGGAAGACCCAAGAGACAACAAGGAGCGCAATGTTACGGATATCGCTCCAGATGGCGATGTTATTCTGATTATTGGGCTGGATAAGGTGAAGCTTCGTGTTCATTCTTTGTTTCTGAAGACAGCCTCGAAACCCTTCTCCGCTATGTTCGGGCCAGCCTGGAAAGAAGGCCATGAATTGCTTGATCGGAACGAGCCAGTCGAGCTGCCACTGCCTGAAGACGATTCCGGGGCGCTCAAGCTTATTTGTACCGTTCTTCACCACCAGAACGATGCAGTTCCTCAGACCCTTGCTGCAGGCGACGTTCTGGGGCTTGCCGTTACAGCGGACAAGTATGACTGTGTTGATGCCCTGAAATTTGCGAGCAGAGATTGGCTTCGGCCTGGTCAAAACGAAGCTGGCGATCTAATGCTTCTGACAGCCGCGGCATATCTATTCCGTAACGCTCAAGCCTTTAAGGAGATTACGAAAGCATTGATCCTTAACCACCATGGTCCTTACCTTGCTCTTTCATCTAAAGAAATTGAATCTGCTATAACTTAGAGAGTATTCTGTAAGTAGGTCGATAATTGTTTTGGGCCTGTAACTGACCAGCCAATTCGAAGGTCTGCTAGAAGAACAAAGGAGCTTTGCAAGGCTGAAAATAGCAGAAGTACTCATGGCAAGAATAAATAATTCGAGCGGGATGTGTGTTCACAGGTGTGAATGGACAAGTAAATATGCATATACATATTTAAAGTTGCTAGAGGGAAAGGACTTGTGGCCAGCGGACTTGCTCCGCATATTTATTTCTAAGGCAATAGACTTGGCAGACACGATTCCAGATCCGATCCCCCAGGAGGCCAGTATTGCATGTACATATGGGTACAAGCATTCGGCGCCAGAGTATAGGGGTGACCGTCGTTATTCCTTGGAGAACCTGAACAGCAATATTAGGCTTTGCTTGCTTTGCATTCGTGTGAATAATAATACAAGCTTTAATTATAATCATAGTTTTAACGATATGTAATT